CCATAGCAACCTCCATGCTGAAGCAGGATACTAGGTGCCTAAAATCCAGAAGATCACAGGAGATGGGTGATGTCTGCAAGAGCAATCTGATGCCTGCAATTCCTGAGGTGCCTGTCTTTACACCAGTGAAGTTTCCTACATGGTTCAGATCCTGCCAGTGAGCGTGCTTGCAAATGCTGTCATTCTGCATTTTTTTGTGCCTAAGGCTGTCCCTCATTCACAAATTAGGTATTCCTGTATCTAAGGAAAGGGAAAATTTAGTAGGCATGGAAGGAGTATGTCTGACATACACTACCTTTTCTAAGAGAAACTGTCTGCTGTGCAGGAACACACACAACTGCTGGAGCCTTGAGGAAAGACAGTAAGGGAAGGTGTGACTCCTGTGTCAGCACTGAAGTTACTCACGTGGTTGCACCCACGACTATGTACTTGGTAACACGAGCCACAACCTGTCCTAAGGCCTTCGGGGCAAGTGGCAAACCACAGCTTGCACCGACACAGCTAAACTTTCTCCACTTCTAATCCATACCAGCAGTTGAAAATAGTCCCTGAGCTGCATCACGCCCCAAATCTTGCCTAGGCGTTGTCCAGAGGAGTGCTGACAAAAGCCAAAACATGCCAGGGAACACGTCACTGATGAAACACCACCAATGACTGTGGGGCAACACTCAAGGCCAAACTATTGTCCCTGAGTTGCTAGTAGTACCAACATGACCCCAATACAGAGTTCTTGCCGCCTGGCCTTACTTGGCTGCCTGTCAACAAGGTTTTAGAGTCATTCTTCTAATACAGAAGTAAACAATTTATCCAGTAACCTATTGTATAAAATGTTGACAGTATGACCATTCCTACTTCTTCCAGTTTTAAAAGGAATGACTTAAGACATCAAAATCAAACAGAGGACTTCAAGCTCCATGTAGACATCTACCTCCAGAAGAGCTGTAGGGCTTCAGACATAAACCTAACAGAAAGCACTGCTGAGAAGGATACATACCACAAGAAAATATACTAACTCCCATTCCAAGATGCTCAGTTCCTCCTTACAAGGAGCACAGAAACCTAATTTTAAATTGTACACTTCATCCAAGGAAACAGGCACTAAGCACTTGAGTATGGTGAGCTCCACAATAACTGTGTCCTTGTACAAGACTAGGAGGCTGCACAGTTAAGCTTGTACTATACCAAATACTAAGGAGTAGTTGCTTACCTGTAACTTCTTACAACTTTACCCTGACCTAGATTTGTCTAACACTTTTTAAGCAAATCTTAACATACCTATTTAATATTTTTCTCCCTACTGCATGATCAAAGTAGGTCTGCTGTTATTCCAGCTTGGTGAGTTTGCCATATTAATGCAATAAAATATATTCTTTGGGAATACAGGGTTTTCCTCAGGAAGGCATTTCTGCCACACTGAGCTGCATGATTTAAAACCAATAGAAGTTTTTGGTGTGGGATGAGGTATCTGAGTACAAATATTAACTACATAGTTAGCTGACAAATACTTATTGCAAACATTGAGTTATGTTAAATCAATGATACATGATAAAACAGTACTGTAGATTCCATTGCAAATGTTTAATTGACAATAGAAACCACAGAGAAGGAAGGAGCGCAGTTTAGGCAACGTTACATGGAAGCGTTATAGACACAGCAAAGTATACTTGCCTACTTGCAATCATATTTTAACCATTAAGAGAAGTAACCTTGCAGAGCCATCTTTATCTTGCATCAGTCTTTAAAACTCTAAACCACATTAAAACTCTAAATAATGACATGTATCAATACCGGTGTTCCTTCTTCCTTTGAAAAATACGAACACCAATCAGGATAGCAAGTGCTGAAGAGCAATACAGCCAAAGAAGGCTACAGTGTCAACAGTGCAATGCACTGCTATGGTTCAACCATGTGGGAAGGAGCCATGTTGGAGAAGTTTGTGGAGAACTGTCTCCCATGGAAGGGACCCCGCACTGGAGCAGGTGAAGAGTGTGAGGAGTCCTCCCCTTGAGGAGGAAGGAGCAGCAGGGACAACATGTTATGAACTGACCACAACCCCCATCCCCCCCACTCATGGGGAGGAGGAGAGAAAATGGGGAGTGAAGTTGAAGCCAGGAAGAAGGGAGGGGTGAGGGGAAGGTGTTTTAAGATTTAGTTTTTATTTCTCATTATCCTACTCTGATGTGACTGGCAACAAATTAAACTGATTTCCCCAAGTCAAGTCTGTTTTGCCCATGACGGTAATTGGGGAATGATCTCTCCCTGTCCTTATCTCGACCCATAAGCTTTTTGTTATATTTTCTCTCCCCTGTCCAGCTGAGGAGAGGAATGATAGAGCAGCTTTGGTGGGCACCTGGCATCCACCAATTGCTAATTAAGCAGACACTTTGAAAGTCTTGTACGCCATTACATGCTGACAATATCCAGGTAGCGAGAAAACATCCACACAAGGAACTGCAGAAGAATATGGTAAACCACTCCTTCATTCACTAGTTGAACCTTTCTGGGACACCTGACCTCAACAGCCTTGCAAGTCAGCCATGCAAGTCAGCCATGGGAGCATTTTCTCCTGTTGCTAATACGTTAACACTTTTCAAGCTAAACCAGCCAATATTCAGATGTGAGCCACAGGTGGATTTTCTGGTCTAGAGGACTCGTGGCTTTACATTTCTATGTGCAGCCTGACAACGTACGGGCCTCAGGTCCTTCCAGGCAGTGAGCCAGAGACTCAGCAACACATTTTAGCACAGATAATGTTTCACTCCTCATCTCCTGAGCCACCACTATGCAGTCTGCTGCTTACAACTCACAGCCTTTCCCTTACGGGCAGCTGGAGGAGGCAATGGAGGCCAGTGCAGAATCATAGGGTGCCTGCACACCGGCTCCAAGCACCTGTAGGTGGCTGCCACAGCTTCCCCCAGCTTTTGAGGGAACCCTGCTGTGCCCTCTAGTGACAAACCTCTGGCAAGAGGAGACTGTGGACTGTCCTGTACCTGGGGAGATCCAGGTGAGACACAACACACAGGTCAGTGAAGCAGAAGGACCCTTGGATACGTGCACTGCACATTCCTTTTTATCCCCTCTGCTGTAGTCCGCTCCACGTATCTTACTGGCACTAGATGATTGTTGTAGGTCCCGTCCAACTGAACTATTCTATTCTATTAACACCCAAATCAGCTATATAAGCCATCCCAAAACAGTACCAAACACGTACCTCTGGCAACTCAAGAAAATAGATTCTCTACATTAAAATACATTCAAACAGAGCACTCGGAAAACTTGAAACAATCCCGTGTTTGTTGTTGACGTTATAATTTGTTTCACAAAAGCCTGCAACTACACCCATAATTTTTGAAAACACAATGCTTTGCATTTTCCGGTCTGAAAACCCAAGTCCAAATCAGATTATCTGCATGCGGTGCTTGAATTACTGGGTAGAAACTGGTAGATATGGCTTATTGCTCATCAGTAAGCTGATTTCAAACTCATTTGCAGAAGGTAGTAAGAGCCACTTTTTGCTTGTAGACAGTCAAACTCAGGTATCTGTAGCTCTGCCCTTTGTCCTCTGAATGTTACAATTCTCAAATAAGCACTTTTTATATGCCTGCAAGCTTCTTAAAATACTGCCTGCCTTTTGAAATACTGCCTCATTTTCCTTGTTTCTGTAAGCTCTGGTAAAAGGCTCTCAGCCTCAAGGACTTTCAGGCAGTCTTATCCAAAGAATGGCAAAACCACAAAGAAATTCATACAGCAATGCAGAGGCCATGTGCATTTCCCAAGATACCAAACAAACATGCAAAAGCATTACACAGGGCAAAATTTACACTCTGGTACAGCAGCTATAGCACTGCACCAGAAATCCTGGGGCACACAGAGTGCCATGGTGATGAGTGTGGAGCTGGATACACAAGTCTTGGCTCCCCCAATGGAAAGGTCACCTTCATAAAAGGGCATATTCAGGGAGCTGCCTGACATGTGCCCGTTGACTGTGTTGGCAAAGGAAATCAAGTGGCAAGGGCTGGTCGGCACAAGGCTGTCCACCAGATTCAGACTAAAGCATGGCAATTGCTTCCATGCACCCCTGAGGCCAGACTGTTTCTCCTGAGCTAGAAACCTGAACATGGACGGGGCTCTCGCTGCTTAGGCACAACAGTATTCGCCAAATCCAGGAGTATAACCCCACAGACTGGTAAAGTATCAACTGTACTAGAAAATTGTTGACTTTTCACTCTGAAGTCATACACAAACCAAACACAGATTACCCTGAAAAGAAAACTTGCTTCACGACTAAACTATCCCATTAGCTATGGCATACTGTGTTTTTTAAACTTCCCAGAACTATAAGATACAGGATGGGTTCTTAAACGGTCACTTTATGTCTCACTGGTCAAAATTAGCAGTCTTTATAGTCTCCTGTTTCGTGGCATTAATAGCATATTTTTGGTTTATAAGTAACATACAATATAGAGAAACAATGTTTGATTTACTGAGATCCAGCCTAAAAAACCAGCCCAACCTCCAAGCATTTTATTTTAATGGCACTCAAAAAAACTAAAGTGACTGAAGCACAAAGGACAATGTGACTCAGTATTTTAAGTACTATTAACGAACATATCTGATGCACAGAACTAAGGCCCTATTGCCAAGCGGGAATAGCAGCTGGATAAAAATTAACTTACAAATAAAAGCAGAGAGTTTATTGCCTTGTCTTTGGCACCAAAATACCGTTTAAGGGTATTACCCTTAAAATTCATGCCAGACTAGTAACATGATGTTGGCTTACAATCACATAAATCAGCAGACCTATGTTGACTTCTTCCTCTGTTATATTCCTTTTTTTCAAAACCTGAAGACATGCCAAAACTAATCTTGTTTTGCTCTTGTAATTTATTTTGCTAGAAATAAATCTCAGCAAGACCACAACTTATAAGGTTGTGTGTGACTTCCTTTTTCTAGATATGCATGTTATACAGGGACAAATACTACTTTAAAGCATTACTTACAGATTGCCAAGCAAGAGACTCCATAATTCGATGCTCACAGCGTTCTAGATGCTTTATCATTTCCCTTGTTAGGCTTGGCTCTGCTTTAATAAAGCTTTCAATCACCTTGTAGAAGTCAAAAGCTTTTAAATCAAACACATTGAGAATCCATGGGAAAGACAAGTCTGTTTCAGCACTGGTACCTTCACCTTGTGAAGCATTTCCTGCAGGGAAAACAGACTAAAATTATCAAGAGTGGTACATTCTTTCACTTCTGATGTTTTTTCCTTTTTGTATTTATTGAATCATTGCTAGTTCAGAAATTTCAGTGAGCACTTTTTTTTTTTGCTATTTACTGTATTTTATGTATTAGAACAAATGGCAGTAATTATCAATAAATAACAATGCTATTTAGGACTTTAGATTCAACTTACTGACATATGTAGCCATGACAACCTCAACAGCACATGCCAGAAGAGATGTGTGGAAGACGTTATCATTCAGAAGTTTGCTAAGGAGAAAGAAAGTTATTAATACTTGTCCTAACACTAAAATAGCAGACTTCAATAACAAGTTAGGGACATATACCTGAAATTCTGCACTGAGAGGCGCTCTTCCTCCTGAAATATATAAATCAAACCAAACTTGTAAATATTCTTAGTATTTGTAAATGCAATGCCCGTACTAAGCTACCATACTAAACTTACCGACTTTAGCATAGACTCCATTACTCTGTAATACAGACGTACTCCAAGCTTGTATCTCTGTTAAAAAAAGAAGAAATTCAAGAATCTTACAAGAAGTTCTAACAGACTACAACAGGCAGACTCTCGTATTTTAACAATTCAGAACATTTCCATTTTTTGGAAGAGCCAGTATAAAGAAGTCATTGTCCCCAGTTCCATTTGCCAATAGCACCGGAGAGGCCTCAAAGGCTACTAAGGTTTGTGACTACCCCAACCACATGAAGATTTAATCAAGTGTTTATGTTGATTCACAGCTAACAGGATAACAATCAGGGCTGACAGACAGGAGACTGTCAGGTACAAACTTGGTTGGATTTGTTTTCCAAAATCCTTGCTGAAAGCACAGCTTGCCTACTGATTTTATAAGGAAATGAGTCACCTTTTGCAGTTTTAGGCTAAGTTACCTTAATGAATGCAAATAATTCACTAAATTTATTTTTCCCAGCAATTTTCCCATTCTTCATTAAAGTATTTCCAACATATTTCCACGCCGTTCTATTGCTCCGTATATTTTAAGAAGAATTTGTTGAATACTATCTTTACAGCTCTTTAGAAAAAAATACCTGTCCATTCCTCAAGTTGAAAAGAATATTGTTACTTTTTACCATTATTGATCTGCACTGAAGGAGGACAATCAGTAAGTCAGGTCTCACATTAGCTAGTAGTACCAACAGAGTTCAAATGAGTAATAACGAAAATGCTAGTTACCTGTGAGCCAATTTCAGCACATCCCTGTCCAACTGCTTCAGCAAATTTCTTTTTGAAGACGTGGTCAAGACTTTCCACTCTTTTCAGGATACTATCCTTAGGGTTCACTGTGCAATTCTAAAAGTACAGGAAGGAGGGCAGGGGAAGAAAAGGCAAAGAAAGGTAATTTTACTTCAAAAAAATTTTAATGATCTAATCACATTAGTCCTGTGTCACTTTGGAACATCTCTCAATCAGCTCATCAGCATAAATAAAAGTAGAGTATTTAAAAAAAGATAGAATCACTGTATACGTTCAACAATTTCCAGTAACTACAACTTCATGTCTCACATGCAACTAGCTGCAACTAGCCCAACTAATAGGCAAGTAGTACCATCGACGTTAATGTCTTTAAAGTTAGAAATATGCTTAAGTTGCTGAATGTGGACATGAGATCCTCTGACTACATCCTCCTTCTCTTCTTTGTCTCCCTTTTATATCCCCTTCTTTTTCCATCTGATGCATACATAAATAAATCATAATATTTAGTGCAGTACCAAAAATATTTAAGAACTTATAATGTTCCACTACACATCAGTTAGATAGAAGCGCTTTCTAAAATGAGTAATTACATTTAAACCATCCCAATAAAAATTTACTCCTTCAAAAAATGGTTGTTAATAAAGAAGTTTCCCAAAATGTGCATCAGATCTATAGGTGTATATTTTACTTGAATGATAATTCCAAGAATCTTTCACAAATCTTCCTTCTAGTCACTTACATTGAAATACATGATGAGAGTATCTGATGGTTTATCAGTTGCTGAGTTTAAAATCATAATCAGTTGCTGAATGTTATTCATTACAGCTCTGGAAAAATACAATAAAACGCATAATAAACATTAAGGTTGGCTTGACAGTTTTCAGAAACTGAACAGCAATCCTACAAACAAACAAAAAAAATTATTATTTTAGTTCTCACCCCAGTTATCAAACAACCTGCTGGGAAAAACTGTTGTACTGTGGTAACCACTGTGAATTCTAATAATCTAATTTATCTAATCATCTAATTATTAGAATGATTACAATCCATAAGTAAATAACCAAAAGAACATAAATTAATTAATAAACACTAACAAGAACTTTTAAAAGCAATGAAATGGTAGAATTGCAATCTTTGTGTGTGAAAATATTCAGTAAAATCAAGCGACTCCCTAACAAAAAAACTCTTTGGCTTTTGTACAAAAATAATACAGAAGACTGGTGAACAAAGACAGCTTTCATGTTTCAAGTCACCTGTTCACAAGTGTAATAAGTAAGATGTATTGAAATATGGCAGTCACAAGAAAATACAGCCTTTTAAACACAGATGCTTTAAAAAACCCACATTTTTGAGAGGCAGAGCTGTCAACATTCCTAGTGGCAATAGCATGAGAATAGAGAGTCTTCTCCCTCCCTGGATCTGAACCCAAAAGTCACATTAAAACTTAAATTCATATTTTAACTCCAATTCCTTCTATTCCCAATAGAAAGTCTACAATTTCTGTAATCCTTATTCTACCTGCTGTATCTGCGGCTAGGTTAGAAGGATCTTAAATATAAAATCTTCTTAACTTTTAAAGTATTATGGGTGGAGAAAAGGATGTGGACATTTAAGAAATTTTTCAGTGTTCCCAAGAAATACAAACAGTATCTTCTTAAAAAGTAGAAGAAAAACTCTTTATTGTCTAGATGGAAAGTAGGTAAAAAATATGAACAACATTTTATTAACTTGGATATACTGAAGTATTGAAGTATGCCTCCATATACGATCTTATTGGCATTATTTTACAGGTATGGAGTAAAAAAAAAAAACAAACCAAAACCAAAAAACCCCACTGACATCAAAACTATTTGTATCTCTACTTAATGTCTAGAATTTTCTTGCTAAAACCAGATTCAAAACTACAAGTAACATCCATTGATTCATAACCAGTCTTAACACAGAAAACTACTAAAACTAACCCAGTAACAGCAGTATTTCAGAAAAGCTGTAATAATTTAAATAATTAGGAATACTTTGAAGACAAGTGCATAGGATGCTGTTGTTTATTCCACAAAGTTAAATGCCTTGTTAGGGTGAGTGTATATCTCTCTGAAGAAAGCATTTTCCAGCTTCTCTTCTAGAACTGAAATCCTGATGACAAACATTTCTCATTACTTTCAGAAAGATCATTATTTCAAGACAACAGAACATGGCCTCTTCTCAAATAGCATGTATTATCCAGGAGGTGACTGAAATATCTATAAGGTGGGAAAATAGGAACAACAATGATCTTGTCATACAGGACAAAACGGTATGTGCATGAGCTAGTATATAAACAGCACACATTTCCAACTTTTGAAGATATCATTTCTTGTTCTGCCTTTATTATTTGCACATACATACAGAACTAATAATATATCCAGTATGTCTATAAATACTAATGTGGCCTGGCTTTTTTTTAAAACATATTTCAAGTTGTGTATTAAGGAACAGCATTAAGTTTCTATTCTTTTAGAAAGGTCAGTGTATTAATTTCTCTCCTAACATCTAAGAAACAGTTTGATTCTTCCAGGGGTATTGTTACTTTCTGATTTTTTCATTGTGGTTTTTGTTTTTTTGGTGGGGTTGGTTTGTTTGGTTTAAATTTCTGTGCTATTTAACTGCAATTTGGCTCGTATCACTCAGAAAATAAGTGGAGAAAGAAAAATATGCTCAATCATTACAACTGTAATAGTGCAAAGAGGCATTTTTCTTTAATCTACTTTTTAGAAGGTTTTGGTAAAATCACTTCTGCCAAAACTCTACTAGCAATACGTAGTGGAAAAAACTAAAATGAAAACACACAACCCATTCTTAATATGCTCTGTACTAGTACCTACACCCACTTTATCTACTGCTTTCTATATAAATGACCAGATACAAATCCACTGATGAAAATTTTTATATTCTCACCAATTTCAGTGGGCTTTAGAGCAGATCCTAAGTGTCTGGGTCCAGAAAGAAGACATTATGAGATGATTCAAAGTAGTAAGTATGGTGCTTTCCACATAACCTGTAAGGGGTTCTGCTTAATGCAGGGAGAGTTAATCATTCATGTTCCACTGCCTGCTGGTGACCAAAGGTTTACTGCCATCTAGTGACAGTTCTGTGGCTTTAGGAAAAACAGTTACTACAGCCCAAATCACTGCTGGTGAATAAGCCTTCACTGGAACTGTCTTAAGTGGCATCAGTTTTGGAAAACTCAGAGAAAAGCCCAAGTGTGGATGGAGAGAATCTAAATATCTCACTAGACCTCCTCCCAAGATCAAAGTTGGTTTAGCGCATTTCAAATTTTTAGCACCCCTGGACTTTCTTAGTAAGACTTCCATGCCAAGAACTTTAATGAAGCATCCTTCACAGTGTTAGAGGGCTTTTTTAAATGCTAGTATAACTGAAAAGTATCAATAACAAGCTATCTACATTTGTCAAAAACGGGATTTGTTGTCAACGGCCTTCTTGTTAAATTTACCACGTTATAGATGGTCTGGTACCACACATTCAGTCTGCAAACTGACAAGCAAGCTGATGACTTTATGGCTAAAAAAGCATCACTGGCAGTTGAATATTAGAAGCATAAGACTAAAAGGGACCACTAAGGCAATCAAATAAAGCCTTCTGCAGTCAGAGGCAATTAAAAGTTCTTTCATATAGTGATCAATATCTACCTCAGCTGCATGTCTCCCTTTATTATTTTTACGAAGAAGCTTCTCAGAACCTTACTGCTCTATTGGCTAGAAAACAGTTAGTTTCTGCAGATGACATTTAGTAGATTTACAGTGGATGCACAAGCCCAGAGTCTAATTCATTCTTCCATAAGCATGTAAACACTGTAGAAGTATTTTTAATAAAAACAAAAATAATTTTACTCATTTGAGAAAACTGAAGTAATAATTAAGCATATAACATTTTAACTTCTCTCATCTCTACAGCATGCTAAAATGAAAGGCATTTATACAGCAAGCATGGAACAAGAACTTAATTGTCCGATTTTATTAAACCTGACACCTTAAGAACGACTGCCTGTACAGACACTTCTCTGTCTGTCCACATAGCACATGGCATTGCAGTGGCATAGCTGGTTGGTCCTTGAGTGTCCAGGAATTTCCAAGCACCATCAGGCACAAACACACTGATTTTATCAAAAAACTATGTGGCACAAGGGGAAAATGGTACATGTAAATCTCCTTTTCTTTGGTTAACTGAATTCAAGCTTGCAGTTTTTCTGCATTTGGTTGTAGATCAAACAATCTCCAATTAACACATTTCTACCTTATCTGTCCATTTTCCCGATAGACCAAAACACGTTGGCACTCTGAATGTTCTTCTTCCCATACAGAAAGAAAACAATACTAAGAAGAAAAAGATCATGGGAAAAGAAACGTGTGTGCATATACAATTTGGTATCAGGAAAGGATGCTGGAAGATACAGAGCTAGAATAAAGATCGGAAAGGAAGATGAGAGTATAGCAGACAAAAGTACTACCACAGAAGTGTAAAGTTGCATTCTCACAAGAACAAATACAGTGATCTATTTTACAGACATCTTGCACTTCTTCAACAACTCAGTAAAAAGCTCTCCTGGTTATCTAGAACTTCACCAGGAACTGAGGGCACTCAGGTTCCCTCAGCACATGCTCACTGCTCATTAGTGACCAGAACTACATCTGTTTTACGAAAAACAAAACAGTTTCTTTAAAATTAAAACAACTCTGCTAAAGATGAATATTTCTAGTTAGGATACTAAACAAAAGAACACAGCTTAAAAAGAAAAACTCATACCGAACAGGAGTCTGTGGAAGTATAAGATTAAGTTCCTCATCTGGATTGTTTTTTAGTGGTGTCCTCTCCAGCTGTGAGCTACAGAAATGGAAAACAAACTTAGGAAGTACTAATGTAATTCAAAAAAGAATGTGTTCTATAAGGATCTATTAATCTGCAGAAAAAAAACCTGTGGAACAGATTTTGAGAAGATCTAGACATCCAACCACTCCAGTTGTTAGAACAATATAATTTAAATTCCCAAGTAGATCTGCTTTGAGCAGGATGTTGGACCAGATGACCTCCAACAGTTCCCTTCCAACTTTTTTTTTCCCCCTAGGATTCTATGTATAACAACTTAATTTATATGTACAGCTAGTATTAGCTCCATTCTAATCCAATTTTAAATGAATGTATTTTTCTATCATAGATAAAATCAGACTCACATCGTGAGCTCACGTCAAATTATGGAAATGTTGAATTGTCAGGAACCACTAGAACTTTAGAGTATGACCAGAGAAATTCAAATACATGTGTATTACTGAACAGCACCAGGGAATGTACTTGGGCACTAGTTCTACTGTTTATTCTGCTAACCATCCATGGCGCATTTCTGTCCCATGCAAACTACCATTCCCCAAAACATTTGTGGGTACAGGTCAGAAGTCAGAAGGGGCTGAGGACCACTCCCAGCAGGCAGCTTCCAAATGCCACCATCTGGTTTTAGGAAGGAGGAGCTGGACAGTGAGGGCCCAAGCCACTCCATGCCAGCTGGCCTCAGAGCCGTAATACCACCTCAGGTATATCTAATCAACTAGCATGACAGGGCCTCGGCCTCCTCCTCCTCCTCCTCACAATTTCTCAGCTTCCCCTGGATGACAGTGGCTTGCACAGAGTGAGAATTAGAGCAGAGCTTCCAAATCATTTTAGGTAGAGTCAGAGTCATACGTTTTCTTATTATTTAAGCAACAATGTAAAGCAAGACTGGTGATGCCATAAATACCTTAGCTGAACTACAAACCTAAGGGGTCAACAGGATACAGAGATGTCTATTTATAACATGAGGGGGCGGAAATCAATGCAAGTTCACATTTTCTGTTATAAAATGAAAGCAGTAAATGGAAATATTACCATGCTATGACATCAGGCTGTAGAGTTTCATCGTGATCCAGAAATAATCTTGCATCTATATCTTTGTTTTTGTGATAGAGCTCGTCATACTGTTTCGAGAGAACCTCAACCTCAAAAAACATTGAAAAAACCCTTTATTTTATAGGAACAAGTTTGACAATTTATAGAATAATATAAGCTAGTCCTACGTCATGAATACAATGCTGAAATGCCAAGAGAATGACCTTGGAGCTCACAAAGCCACTTCTTCCACAAATAGCTGAAACATACCCAGAAGAAAATTATCGTTCCCACGCACAAAGATAATCATTCGTAAGAGAAAACAATCCAAGATCATGAGACTTATTTGAAGAAATGTAGGTCTTGACACTGTAAAAGAGCTAAAAATAGCTAGTGGGAGACATAGACCTGCAAACCAAACTCATGTTTCTAGGTTTTTAAATCTTTCCTTCCAGAAAAAAAAGGCGTCTCTAGGAGCAGGAAATGTAAAATGATTGTCCTTAGAACAGCTGCCAGACAATCCGCTCAGTCCCTGTCTCTGCTGGTTTGGAGATGAAGGCCAAGACCCACACTCAAACCTTCTTGCTCTGAGTGTAAGAAGAATTTCCCCATTCGACATTAATATTTGTGCTGGTGTAGTTTTTAAGAGACATGTCTATTTCTACAAAAACTTACACCATTATTTCATATCCACATTGTTTTTTTAAATTACTGTTAAAGATTTCTTATTTGATTAGATCCCATATTGATATACCTCCATTTTGCATGGAGAAGTTTGTTAGTTTTTGGTTTGGGGTTTTTTTTTTTTTTTGAGTAACTAATATTACCTAGAAGTCTGGAATTTTTTTATCAAGGCCAGATACTAGCCTCCACTTCAAATCTGCTGCTATGCTCCTGTAGAAGTAGGTAGTCACCTCAATTATCTGTTCCCCGAGCCCTTAAACATACTAAATGATGCTGTGCTCTAGCAAATTCCTGCTAGAAAAACAGGCAACAGTGCATATGAACCCAAATTAGTCCCTTCCCAGTCCCAAGAAAAAGCAAGCTGCAAATACCTCCTACACAGCATTGCTCCTCATCCCCTCCTGTTACCTTTGCCAAATTAATTTGCTCCAAACTGATCTCATGGTTAAAACTTTGAGATTAGGACCAATAAATCAAAGTTTATCTTTCAATTCCTATTATCACTATTTTTTTATTAAAAACGTTCATTATCTTTTCATTTTTCATTATCTTTCTAGACTTACACATTCTTCTTGTCTAAAACATTTCAGTATTTCATAAACTTCTAGAAAATTCAGATTCTCACTGCAAAAACCAGCAGCTCTTAGACAAAATGTCTGTACTGGGCTAACTGGGAAGAAACCTTCAGCCAAAAATAAGAGTTCTGAATCAATCTGTTCATCAGTTCATAAAGCCTGACCATCAAACATATAGTGAAGACAAATGAAATAGCAATATTAAGCCTCAAAAGCTTTTCTTGCTTTGGAAACAACATGAAAATTTATCAAAAGCTCAATGGTTTTTTTTATGAAAAATGGAAGTCAATTTAAATGTCCCATATTACTAGCTATTGTACTGATGATCTCAGCTATGACTGACGGTTAGTTGGATTACATATATGAATTGACTGCCTCTGAAATACAGCTGTAACTTTCTGCTTTGTTTTAGAACATCCCCTCTGGGACGTGTGACTAGATTTTTCTTCAAATGCATCATTTTATAGAATTTACACCAGCAGAGTCTTAGACTGATAATTTTGATACCATGCTTAAATTCAACAGCCTTGGATGAGAACGCTCATTGATTTGAGAATAAACTGTATAATGACCTTTGCCTGGAAGTTCATACACAGCTTCCCAACCATACATACAACCATAAATTAAAAAGTCTAAACTGACTGCTGATCCCCTGAAATTAATTTTGGAAGAGGTTAAGGTCTTTAGTGGGTCTTGCCTTTTGTCCCCCACCCAACACACTATGAAACTGAACAGAACATATACTTGACTGAATCTTGCAGACCTTCAATCTGATAAGCTTCAGAGCTGCTTATTTTCAGATTACCACATCTATTGGTGACACACAGCTAAACCTACTCTTTTAAGAATGATGGATGTAAATACATTGCAAGAAGTTACCTACTAAGGCGCACTCTTGCATGCAATTGCATAGAGGCAGTCTGCTGCATCCAGGCTACAACTCAGTAAGATGAAAGTAATTCTGCACAGACACAGCAGTCCAAACTCTGCCAGTTGTAAAACCGAGCCTAATCTTTTGGATCTCTCTCCAACATGACTACAGTAACATGTCTCAATTATATTTAAATTAAGGTGTATAATTTAAGACGTATGCATTTATAGACTGACTTCAGAGACCTGATATTGTAATAGTTGTATTTTAGATTAATGGCCTCACCAAGATCATGGATATGCAATGCCTATGTCATGTTTTGCTTCGAGCAAAAAGCACTGGTTCAGCCTCAGGAAATTCATTTATTAAATTCAAATGTAAAAGCTAAATATACTCCATGAATCCTGGAATCCCTGCTAAGCCACATTCCGTAAAAACAGTGCATTTTGCTAGATGATTTTAGAAGAACCTATTAGAACTTTATCAATGCGTAAAGGGAATCTTAGGCAATTTAGCATGAAGGAAAGCACTGTTGTTGAACTATCTTAAATTCCTCCAATTACCTCTGGTAGTCCATTCGAAGCTACAATACCAATAGAATTCAAGAAGGGAACAAAGCTTGTGAAATACACATTTTTGACCTAAAAAAAAGAAAAAATGTAACATTAGCAATGTACAGAGGCAGCCACGCATACACCGCTTTCATGTCTTTAAATAAAGAAATTAAATAAGACACTTCTGTAATGCACTGTGTTTTGTTTTCAGTAAAGCAAAAATGAAAGTGCTTACATATCCAAAACATAGGGATATGTAAGCATGCAGTGTGTAATCCATTGCTGGAACATTAAATGACTAAACTGGGAAAGAACTCCACTCTTCCCAGCCCTCTTATATTTCTGCTTCCATCATCTGCTTAGATACTCAAAAATCAGTCCTTTTTATACAGGAATAGACTTATCAGCAAAGGAAAAGGGGAATGGGGTCTTCAAGATCCCACACAGATGCAATGTGCTGCTTGTGTACATTTTCTCACCATGGGATGCAGCTGTGAAACCCCATCAGAGCAGCCCTGTGTCCACATGCTACATGCTGTGATGAGCCTGTAACTTCATACTGCATTCTTCACAGTTCAGCCCATATGAAAGGGCTTGTTTTTTGGGTTTTTTTGTTTGGTTTTTTTAACTACCTACTACAGAAACTATAGACTGTAGAATACCTTCACTACTGAATTTGAAAGTAGTTAAGCGGGCACAAGTATTGACATTTAAAAAGACCATTTAAATAAAAGCATATTCCAGGTGGGGTTTAGCAGCAAGATCTAACAGACTTTAAAGCACAGGCATTACCTCATCTAAATTACAATCATGCTCTTTACAAAGGACTTCAATAACTTTTGTATCGGTATCAATTTGCTTTGAAGTACGTGTACTCCTGTTCTGACCTCTTCTTGGAGTTCGAGCTGAACCATTAACAGTCACTGCAGTCACAGCAGACTCTGGAAAGATAGTCAGAACCATCACAAGGTTAGAGTCGTCTTAAGAAAGAGGAGATTGAAATTTTTAAACCTAAGAGATTTAAATTTTTATATTATTTTTCAGGTCCTCTTCTTAAATATTTCCCTTTTAATCTGTTCAGCCGAGAAAGAAACCTTCATTACAGAAAATCTATACAAAAAGAAGACCTATTTTTTTAATTCCTGTATCAATATTTGGACTTTTTGTTTTTAAAAAGCTATTCAACACAGAATGTAACAGCATTTTTTCTAAGTAGCTCTGAATAAGCATCTGTTTTGCAAAGCTAGGAAAGCCTTATCTTTTCCACAGATGAGTAACTGTTTTTTCTATTTTTACACAAGTGTAACACAAGGAGCTGGAAGACTAACTTCACTCTACATGTCTGAAGGTTAATAAAGTCAATGCAGGACTTAAGTGCTGGTGGGAACCTGGAATATGGTTCTGCAGGGAATTCCTCCTTTCCCGAAATACCCCCAGGCAAACAAGTAGGAACAAACAAGTTCACCTTGAAGAAGATATCAAAAAACCTTAATTCAGTGAGGTAAAAATATTTCATTTTGTTAAGCACAAAGTAGATGGCTTCAATATCGTCAGCTTGAAATATGTGAATTATATTAATAACATTCGTTAGTATCATTAAATATTGTTGATTTAAAACTGACACTCTAATCAGCATGCTGTTCTCATCTGTAACTTCATTTGTATTTGATAATTGTTCTGAGAAAATCTGACAAACTACACTGCTCGGGTGGTTGCATCTTAATCCCTTCAGCCTTGGTCAGATCATAAACCTTGACATCATTTAGCACATGAAGCCTCTTGGTCACGAGGATTTGAACAATACATTGTGTTATTTGCTAAAAGAACGAAGTGCTGTTTTACAGTTTACACAGCACCTGGACATATCACACAGTTTCAAGTTAGAAATCTAATGCTTTACACTTATGACAGTAATACTCATATTTCCAATTTAGTATGAAGTGGCAGCATTTCTTTTCAAGATACAATGCACAGAACCAAACTGCTTCTAATAATGAGCTCCTAGTCTTCATAGTTTCACTAAAGCAAATAAATCAGTGTGAACACAGAGTTCAAAACCAGGTAGTTTCAATTCAGTGTTCTTTGAAAAAGATCTGCTTTATAACATCTGAAATAAGCAGTAGCATATGTCTGTCCTACTGTGAAGGGCAAATTTAAATTCAAAATAGTACTGGAGGAGGGCAGGGATTTGCTTGCCACAAGCCCATCCTTTCCCACCCTTTATTTATATTGGCATTAGAATAAAAGCAAGGTTATTTGTTCTTACCTGCAACAAGTAATTACTAGGTCACAAAAATATTCTCCAAAACATGGAATTTACAGAATATAGCAGTGAATGCATCATCTGTTCTATGACATTATAACCCAAGTGGATATTCAGTTGTGAAACAAAGAAATAAAGCAAGTAGATTTAGGCTATAAATACTAGTGTCGTATCCAAACCCAGCAGAGGGTAAACTAATTAGTATCAAAAAATTGTTTTTTACATACTGTGGCTCCAAATACTTCAGTATATTGATTCCATAGCTTGCAGAAGAAAATATTCAACAAAAATAGAATTTTATCTTTGAAAGTTACCATAAATGCTTACGTTCTCTGCCTTTTTAGTGAGTTTTTCCAGGTTTTAGGTACAAAAACTGAATGTACAAAAAGTTACTGCTGAACAGCAGTTTCTATAGCGAAGACCCATTATATTTTTTACTTAAAATAGAGGCACTTGCTAATAACAAAGGGGATGTAATAAAAGCAAAGCTATCTACATTTTACCTCTACCATTTTATTTTGAGCTACCACTGTGATTAGGTTTTCTGTCCATTGTGTATGTCTTTTAAATGTCCAGTATCTTCTACATTTCTGTTGTCATCATAGTGTTATTTCATGTCAGTGAAATAACAGAGTCATAGCACCATCTTTTCCTTTTGTAACTCAAAGCAAACCTAAATAATAGTTCTCAGTCATCATCTACCCAGAACCTGAATTCTTTTACCAAAGTAAAACTGCTGTTTTAACAAGCCCCTGAACAACTTGTATCGGCAGAGGACATAGCAAATGCATGGTAGGAAAAAAAAAAAAACCCAAAACCCCATATTAAATACAGTGCCACATTCAGATAATTTAATTCAAGTTCACTATCATCTAAATTGCACTAAAACACCAAAACATCAATTTTAACAAGCTTAAGAAGTTTTATTATGTTAATTACGAATGTTAGCATGACTTTAATAGAAATTCAACACATTTGCTTTCTACTTTAGTGAACAAAAAACTAAAATCCTTACTGTATGGTTCCTTGAGCATAGCAGGAGGTGACAGTTTGATAAAATAATCTAAAACACACAGCAACAACTGGAAAGAAATCACCAGGTCATCTTCCACTTGCAACACTTTACCTGCAAACGTTTAAAAAGGCAAAGAAAACCTTTGTGAGATGTTTGACTTAATTTGAAAAGTAATTTTGAAAAAATAAAGATGTGAAAGTTCATTTAATAAAGCACTAATATTAGAATTCAGAAAGCATCATACAGGATGCCAGTGTTCTGTAAAGGCTATTGATTTTAAAACTTACGGCTCTTAAGAGGTTTGTTGCTTTAGAGATAGCATACATATAAAGAAATTTACTGTGCACAAAATTCCTAACTCTCAGTGCTCCTTCCTGATTTCTTTTTCATTTTACTATAGTAGAGTAACTGTGTAGACTATTTTACCTATATGTACCTCTTATTTCTGTGCAATTCTTCCTCACTTTCTTTTTTGTGGTCTTACATAAGCTTTGTGAAAGATGGTAAGTGTTCAGAAAACAGAAGTTGCTAGTATATAGTGAAGAGAAATTCAAAACATGCTACCACACTGTATGCTCAGCCTGCCAAATTTATTTGAAATGACTTAAAAGTCAGACAAATATTAGCACGAAGAGCACTTTTAAAACTACATTATTCCAGCTGTTCCCAAATTATGATTCATATGCCAGAGAAAATCTACAGGGCCATTCCAAGACAGCGTGCATTGCGACGAAAAATTTGGAAAGCTAACACTGATTCACAACAGCTACAGACCACTACTTATGCTCTATTTACATGTGCAATTTCTGTATTTATTTTCTATCAGAATTAGCAAGCATCATCCAAGCTCTCCTCTGACTTCACCTATTTGCTGATAAATTTTAACTTTCCCTATTCTCAGTGAAAAGACAAGCTAGAAAAAGTTTGTGGGTTTTGCTTTATGCTTATGCTCGGAGAGTTCTAGTGAAAAAGCTCCACAAAGCTCAGCTGATCCAAGACCAATTTTGACTGCAGAGATGCGTATACTTCGCTGATAACACAGACCTGGAGTAAGCAGCAATTAGGACACATGATTCATTCCTTTTTGTAGGAATAGTACAATCAGATGGGACTCCATGGACTACTGTAATTGTTTCATCACTCAGCTTTAACTGGAACTTCAGCCTTTTCAAGGAAGAATTGTAGTATGCATAATTTCAGGGACTTACTATCTTTTAATAATATCTTATTATTGTTAAATTTTATTTATTTATA